GGGTGGCATCTGTTCAAAATTAAACAAACAGCAGGGCATTGCCCTTGCAGAAGGTGTGTGTGTGTGTGTGTGTGTGTGTGTGTGTGTGTATGTAAGCGGGGAGGAGGTTGCAGTGGACTTTGTGCAAGTTCATGGTTCTGGTTCTGATGCAGTCTTTTAAAGTAAGTTATACAGGCTGGCTTCAGGTTAACTACGTAAAACAGAATGACCTTGAACTCCTAATCCTTCTGCCTCCACCTCCAGAGTGCTAGGACTATGTGTGGACACCCCCACGCCCAATTTACGCGGTTCTGCAGATGAAACTCGACCTCCTGCAGGTTTGGTGGATATTAAGCAGGTTCTTGTTATCAGCGGTTGCCTCCCTTGTAGCCTCACAACCCCCCAGAATCTATACAACAAAGACAGTTCTTGCTTAGATTAAACATTTCTTACACAAACATACGAGGCTTTTATATCTAAGAGATGCTCTGCTAACAAGGCCCCCCACAGACCCCACAGAGGTCTGAGAGTCTGTTCTGCCACAGATGGGAATGGCACGTAGTTCCATGTGGCAGGCAACCTTGCAAATGTAGGAAACAAGGAACATTGCCTCCCTCCTGAGGAGTGGAAGATAAACTACCTCAGAAATGTGGACACTTGATTAAACTGACCATCAACACCCTTGAAAAACCAAAGAGCAAACCCTATGAGAACCTGACAACAGTTTGCCCACGCTGGGACCTCCTGTGAGATTCGGGATATATCAGTCAGCTTCCCTGTACCTTAATAGACTCCCAAGAAAATCAGTTATGAAGAGACAAGAATTTGGAAGATTCAGTCAGTGATTGGTTACCTCAGACACTACCAGGACTGTGGTTTCCATAATTTCATGATGGGGCAAAAGCTCACCCCATGACTAGGAAGTGAAAAGTGGATAGAGGAGCCGAGATGGCACTCTCCCCTCAAGGACATGCTCCCAACAACCTAACTTCCTCCAGCTAAGCCCATTCCTAGGATTCTCTGAGATATGGACCTCTGCGGGTAGCCACACTACAGCAAGGGCCACAGGTACCACTAAATACTAATAAAAACTGTCTGGGACTTTCTTCTAGAGTAAATTACTTGGGCTTGAGAATGCATTGCTGAGAAACAGGGGCCAGTTGGGAGAAACTCCAAGAATGAACAACTCTGATTAACAATACCATTTTCCAAGAAAGAAGCAATCAGCTGGCCGAATGAAGGAGTCTCGGAAGCTCCCGAAAGGGAGGCCCTAGTGGCCAGATAAGAGTGTCCAGTTAGCCCAGGGTAAAGCTTTCCTTTGGTCAATAGGCTGATTAAACCTTCCCTCCCTACCCTAAGAGGCCAGCTGCGGATGAGACTCTCTCCGTGCATCTGGTTTTCTTGAATCCATTTGATTCTGGTTTGCAAAGCCATCAGCAGCACAGTTATGCAAATTGACTCTTATGCCGTTTGCAGGGAAACTGATGAGCCAGGGATCATCAGGTCGTCTTTTCTCTCCTGTGATATATATATATATATATATATATATATATATATATATATATATATTGAGGCAGGGTGTTACTTCATAGCCCAGGCTGGCCTCCGATTTATGCCAGTCCTCCCTGCCTCTACCTCCCAAGTGCTTAGAATACAATGTGAGCTATACTATACCTGGCTTTGGAAACTAGGTTTAGACAGACAGACAGACATAAAAGTAGAAGGGAACTAAGTAGGTGAAGTAGGTCTGAAAGGAGGGGGCACAGAAGAGAGGACTGTTGGGATAATTATGTTCTCTCTCACATAGAGAACATAGACTCAGCAATACACATGCTCTGTAAAAGACCTGAGAGCAGAAAGTGGCCATGTCTGAGCAATGGGAAACCCATGGGAAGAAGGGTTGAACGAAGGAGGAGTAATCAGGGGTTGGTGCGAGCAAGCTGAAATCGCATACATATGTAAATGCTATAATGAAGCATCATTCTGACTAAAAAGTTAGTAAGATGAAAATGACAAGATGTATTAATTTTTACCGCACTGTGGTTGCTTCCTAAGGTTTTATGTATGTCCTTACTCCTGTATTGATTAGAATAGGCAGTAACTCACTTTTAAGTTCTGCTTTCTGTTGGTATTTATACCACCACCTCCTACACAAGATCGCCCATGCACACAAACATCCAAGCATCTACACACCCGTGCACACAAATGCCCAAGCATCCACACACCCATGCACACAAACACCCAAGCATCTGCATACACATGCACACAAATGCCCAAGCATCCACACACCCATGCACACAAACATCCAAGCATCCACACACCCATGCACACAAATGCCCAAGTATCCACACACCCATGCACACAAATGCCCAAGCATCCACACACACATGCACACAAACATCCAAGCATCCACACACCCATGCACACAAATGCCCAAGTATCCACACACCTGTGCACACAAATGCCCAAGCATCCACACACCCATGCACACAAATGCCCAAGCATCCACACACCTGTGCACACAAATGCCCAAGCATCCGCACACCTGTGCACACAAATGCCCAAGCATCCACACACACATGCTCACAAACATCCAAGCATCTGCACACCTGAGCACACAAATGCCCAATCATCCACACACCCGTGCACACAAACGTCCAAGCATACACACACATATGCACACAAGCATCTCTGCACGTGTGCACAAACTTCTGCATCCAATCACACCTGCTCACTAGTCTAACTTAACATTTTCTTCTTTCCTTCTTAATTTTCACCTACTTTCCTTGGTTCTTATGACCAATTTTAGAAGTCTGCTTGAACGTAGGTAAGCTCATAAATCATTTTAATCTTATTTAAATAATGAAATGATTGCAGCTATGGGGCATACCTCCGCAGTGCCTCACAGACTTTGGTCTTAATGTCCCCATTATCACTGTGCTTACTGGATTCTTAATTTCAGACTCAATTCTCTATATTTCAAGACTGATCTATATTTTTTTAATTCCCAACTTTTATTGTTAATTTCTAATTTCATTGTACTATGGCCAGAGAATCTTATTTCAAAGACTATGTTTTTGTTTTTGTTTTTGTTTTTAAAAAAATCTTACTAGCTAGCCCAGGCTATCCTCAGGCACACTTTCCTCCTGGTCGGTACTGGAATTATAAGCATGTACCACCACACTCAGCTAAAACATTTTTTTCTGTCAGCATGCTCAATCTTATAATGCGTTATGCATATTTGAAAATAAGATACACTCTCTATTCTCAGGGATAGTGTGTGTCTATGCGTGCATGTGCACTTTTTCCATGTAGATAGATCAGTAGCCTATGGCAACTTCATGAACCATTAATTCTCAGAGCAGGGTTAAGAGTTCTGGCTTTGGAACTGGAGAGATGGCTCAGAGATTAAGAGCACTGGATGCTCTTCCAGAGGTTCTGAGTTCAATTCCCAGCAACCACATGGTGGCTCACAGCCATCTATAATGAGATCTGGTGCCCTCTTCTGGCGTGTAGGCAAACATGCAGACAGAACACTGTATGCATAATAAGCCTTTAAAAAAAAGTGAGTTCTGACTTTGCCTGGCAGTGATGGTGCACACCTTTAATCTGAGCACTCGGGAGGCAGAGGCAGGCAGATCTTTGTGCATTTGAAGCTAGCCTAGTCTACAGAGTTCAAAGACAGCCAGGACTACACAAATAAACCCCATCTCAAAAACCCAAAAACAAAGAGTTCTTGCGTTGACGCAGAGCAAGCCTGGGTCCAGCCCTTGCCACATGACTGAGCACACATAAAAACCTACTAGCCCAGGCAGCACGAGTGTAGCCCCTAAAGAGTACCCAGCCCTAGGAGGGATATTGACCTCTGTACACATTTCTGTACAGTTTTTAATACAGTTCAGATGGGCTGCAATTCCAACACAATCTCCTGTCTTCCCTCGTGTCTCTCGCCCTGGGCCCCTGTGTGCCTCTTGCTTTTTTCTCTTCAGACACGAGGGGAAGTAGCAACCATGAGGAGGACTGTGATAACTTCTCCGTGTTAACGAAACTTAGCACAGCTGCGTGAGCGTCTCACTGCCCGCCTCACGACTGCCTCCTTACATCCCCCTTACACATCTGCAAACCCTGCATTCACAGCAGCCGCATCTACCGCCTAACCCCTCCATGCTGAGGGCTCAGAGGTCCCAGTGCTGTTCGTGAGCTTGGACCAACCCGGTTTCCTGCTGATCTATCCTGAGCTGCTCCAGATTGCCTGTTTGTGATAGTTTCTTTCTAATGCATCTGTTCTCTTTAATTTTCCCCCAAATTTCTCAGTTCAACTCACTGGGATTTTTCTCTCTTCCCCCTAGATTATGTTGGTTATCTACCTTCTGTCTTCTAGCCACCTTTACTGTCAACCCTCCACATTGCTTCAAAAAGAAATGAATCCAGAACCCCTTAAGGATCTAGAGCTCCTCAAAACACAGAGATCCTTCAGACATGTCAACACTGGGGAGAGGTGCCCAAAGGAAAGGGAGGTTCCAGAACAGATAGCTGGATGGCATGGGAAACATCCCTCCTGGGTCTCACCACAGAAATGGCAAGGTTTGGATCTGGCCCAGAGCTCATCCCTGTGTAATCCCCGATACAAACAAACAACAACAACAAAAAGTTTTGAAACAGGGTCTCAAGTAGCCCAAGCTACCTTGAACTCAATATCTAGCTGAGGATGACCTTGAACTCCTGATTCTCGTGCCTCCACTTCCTGATGTCGGGGTTTCAGAGCTGCACTTCCAGGTATGGTTTTTAGTGCTGAGGATGAAACATGGGGCTTCATGTATCTATGAAAGCACTCTACCTACTGAACTCTATCACCAACCCCTGGAAATGGATATTGGCTTGAAACTGCTGGGGAGCACAGACCAATCAGGTAGCGGGAGAGTGGGTGGCGGGGTGGAGTTCCTCACCAGCCCTGGAGGCCCCAAGGGTGAAGGGGCCCCTCTCAAGTTGCTGAGAGCAAGGAGAGGAACTGAGGTTTGCAAGCACTGTGGCTTGTCTGTTTCCTGTTTCACCAGACTGCTGTGCCAAAAGAATGTCGGTACCAGAGGAAAATGGAGAGGGGGCTCAGAACATCTGACTGACTGCTTCCCTGGCCACCTGAGACCAGAGAGGGGGCTCAGAACATCCGACTGACCGCTTCCCTGGCCATCTGAGACCAGAGAGACACTAGGACAAAACCTGAGACCTGAGGTAATGGTGGAGGACAATGCTTTGGGATCCAGGTTTGGGTCTGTTGGCGTTGGGGGTGGGGCAGAAGGGGCTCTGCCCATGCCAGCCTCCTGCACAGCAGCAGGTGGTAGGGTCTGAGTGCTGGGCTTTGTGTGACCAAGAAAGCATCCTTGGGTAACCACTGGGATACGGCTAACAGCTCTGTTCCACCTGTTAGATTAGTAAAGGTAATGACAAGCCTGTAGGTGAGGGGCAGTGCCCTGCTGCCTCCCTGTGCAGGGAGGAGAGCCACCCTCCCTAGTGGGTACTACCCCTTCCTCCAAGGCTCTAACTGGACCCTTTGTGTTGCCAATGGAGACTCCAGAAAGCCTGGGCAAGCGGCCTTGTGACCTTTCTTTGAACCACAGGACCAGTTCCTTTATTCTGCAGCTAGTCCCTGTCCATCAGCTCTTCCACAGCCATTTTTTTTTTTTGGATTTTTCGAGACAGGGTTTCTCCATAGCTTTTTGGTTCCTGTCCTGGAACTAGCTCTTCTAGACCAAGCTGGCCTCAAACTCACAGAGATCCGCCTGCCTCTGCCTCCCAAGTGCTGGGATTAAAGGCGTGCGCCACCACCGCCCGGCCCCCACAGCCTTCTTATGTTGATGTGAGCCACCATTTCACACCATTCCAGAAGGCTATGTGGTTCCGTGCAAGCACCACATCAAATCCCACCGGGGTGGCGGGGAGTGGGAGGACCTGTGGGTCGAGCAATGCTCCTCTTTCTAGGGAACCATTCCTACTGTAACTTCCCTCTTGGTGTTAAGTCCTAATGATGCAGAGAGTAAAGCAACCATATTTCAGTAGACCTACAGACCAGCTAGATGGCGAGCAGGGAGAGACGTCACCACAGCCTTGCCTCGACCCCACGAGATGTTTCCTCTTCCTGTCTAGAAGGCGAGAGGGTCCTAAACCCAGAGAGCTACCTCCAGTTCAAACCCTATACGGAAGTAGGGCCCAACAGGGAGGAACCTAAACCCTCACACTCGAGGCCGTACCCATTCTTCACCTGCCTGTTCTTTGCCTTCCTGTCTGACCTACTGGAGTTGATGGTTACGTCCAGACCACTGAGAAGCGCTTTGTCCTTATAATCCAAACTCAGAGGTCACAGGAAAATTATTCTAAGATGGAGATATGAGGCCTGTTCATAACTGAGAGAAGGAATTAGGGGGAATCAGACGGTGTCCTAGAGTCTGGCTTTGCCCGGGCGTTTGATTTACACCAGCAAGGATAGGTAGGATGCTTTCTGTCTGTTATTTTTAAAAGCTATCATAATGGCAGTGCTAGGTGTATGGTGTAGATGTCATCATTTAATGCTCATATCCCTTTCACGGGACATTTTAGCCCCATTTCATTAATGAGAGCCCTGAGGCTTAGCAACACTTAACCGTTTCCCCCGTTTGTAGGCAGTGACAGCCTGGAAGTGAGTCGCAGACTGGCCCCGAAGCAAGAGTTCCCATCCATCCATCCACCCATCCACCCATCCATCCACCCACCCATCCATCCACCCACCCATCCATCCACCCACCCATCCATCCACCCATCACCCATCCACCCATCACCCATCCATCCATCCACCCACCCACCCATCCATCCACCCATCACCCATCCACCCATCACCCATCCATCCATCCACCCACCCACCCATCCATCCACCCATCACCCATCCACCCATCACCCATCCACCCATCACCCATCCATCCATCCACCCATCACCCATCCATCCATCCACCCATCCACCCATCCATCCATCCACCCATCCATCCACCCATCCATCCATCCATGTTAGTATTCAGGCATCTGTATGTGGCCTGACACTAAGAGCCACTGCTGTGCACATTTAAAAGGGCCATGCCTACCTCCCATCTCTCCCTCTTCCTCTCTCTCTCTCTCTCTCTCTCCCTCTCTTTCTTCCTCCCTCCCTTTCTCTACCTCTCTGCTATCTGTCTCTTCCCCTCCTTCTATCCCTCCCCCCTTTCTCTCGGCCTCTCTCTTCTGCTACCCCTGTTCCCAGAGGCTGCTCTCCCCTCTCTCTTTTTAAGTTCCCTTTCCCCTATAAAACCCCCTCCACCTGAGCTCTGTCGCACTGTGTCTTTCTCTCGCATACCACATTTTTTTATTACAACAATCCATCCATCCATCACAGAACATGTGTAGAGCTTTTGGCTCCTTTTCTACATGATTAAATAAGCAGAGAGACTGGTGGGAAGTCTAGAGAACCCCACAGAGCGAGAGTGAGAGCAAAGCCTTGGGGGAGGCACTGAGATGATGAGGAGGACAAACACCAGCTCACAGTCCATGGGGTAAGCTCTGCCCAAGGCAGAGGCTGCTCCTCTGCCCTCAAGAGTCAGGTAACAAAAAGCATCCAGGACTTGGCTATATAAGCCCCTCAGAGAGTGAGACTGTCCACCCACAGGCTTGTGAATGAGTGTAGTGACCAGGGACAGAGCAGCCACTCTGCACAGAATTCTATCTTGTGCCAGGATAGACATCGAAGTCCCAACAATGAAGCATAGGGACTCTGCCTGCAGATTCTGTGCAGCCTATAAACAAGTCTCTGGGGTCAGAGCTGGCCAGTGCCTCCTGGTCGGTGAGGCTGGGATACTTCCTCTGACCACCCAGGAGCTGAATTCCAGGGCAGTGAGATGAACGGTAATAGAGAAGAGGCAGCAGCTCTGAGGAGGACCTTCCTCATCACCCAGTCGGGCTCCAGAAGGCAGAGGAGGCGGGGAACAATCTCTGATGCTAGGGTGTAGGTCCTCTGAGTCCAGCCCTCACTCCACCAGGCTGCCAGAGCCCAGAATGAGGCTAGCCAAATCCACAACAGGAAGGTGAAGACGAGGGTTTAGGTACTAGAGAGATGGCAGGTAAGGTCACCTAATGGGGCACCAAGGGTGACCTATCTAAAGACCATTCCTTGGGGACAGGTTTCTCTTGTCTTGCTTCTTAGGGTTTGTCTTTGGAGGACTCCTGTTGAGAGTTCAGACAGCAGTTTTGGAGACAGACTGAGTTTGGCAGGGAGGTGACACCGAGCCAAGGGTCTCTGCCGTGGACCAACACTAAGCATCGTGAAGATGCTCATCCCATACACTGACCTGATCAGCAGCTGACGTCAGCATCTCGCCCTAGATACATAGCGGATGACAGATAGAAATGTCAGGATGTGGCGATGGAGGAATTAGGGCAGGTTCCCTGAGCCATGCCAGTCCGGAGCCATAAGGTGACTGCTGAGAGCTAGAAATGGGGCAGAGGGTGCTAGTCACAAACCTGATCACTTCCTGAGGGGTTGTGGCTAGACCTCCACTGGGTCTCGAGAACTGCCTCTTAGCTATTTTAGGGATAGTGTGGGCAAGAGAACAGTCAGGATGACATCATCTTTCATTTTAGACTGGAAGATGAAGTGGGCTGAGGTGGCCAAAGTTCTGCAAGCTACCCAAAGGGCTGTACGCTCATTGTGACGAGTATCATTTGTCCCTTGTGTACCCTCACTCAGAGGCATCTAACCAAAGAAGAAGGCTCCAGAGAGAGCCCCCACTTTAGGGAACAGTGCTAGAGAAACCTGGCCTTGCTGGATTCCATCAGTTCATGCAGGATTGAGCCCAGGAGTCCTCACCCCGGGTTTTCAGCACACACACGGATGGAGCCCTGTGCTATTTCTGCCCTGACCTGGGGAGATAGATTGTCAGTTTTTGGCCCTTCTTCTGACTCCTCCCTCTTGGCATCTGTCAGATCCAAGCAGCTGTTCAAGGAACTGAAAGCCAAAGACAACAGGTGCTCGGGAGGTCACCATGATCAGCTCAGACCCCAAGTCCTCCCCTGGCTTGGCTCGGTGGGCTGAGAGCTACGAGGCCAAGTGTGAAAGACGTCAGGAGATCCGAGAAAGCCGCCGCCGCCGCCGCAATGAGACCACCTGCCGCCAGCCGGGGAAGGTGCTGAGGACCCAGCACAGGGAACAGCTTCAGAGAGCTCGGCAGCTCCAGTTCCTCAGAAGGAGAAACCTGGAAGATGAAACGAAAGGCCAGGTCAGGGAGCAAGGGCCTTCCCGCAAGACAGATGGAGGGACATGTCAGGTGACTGTCCTCAAGGAGCCCTTGCCTGGTGCCAACAAGACCGCTTTCCCTGGACAGCAGGTGGGATATGTCCAAGAAAACACTGCTCTAGACCTGGGGGGTGGGAAGTCTGAGAAGCACAAAGGCCGAAGGTGAATAACAAATGATTCCTGTAAGCCCCTTCCTCAGCATGCAATCAAGTTTCCATCAATCGTCAACCATTGCTCTTTAGGGTTTGTGCTGTGTCTTTAATTTCTTTTGAAATGGGGGTCCTACTCCTGGCTGTTAGGAGAAAGGAAATAACTGTTCAAACAATTATAAATCAATAACTAGTATAAGATCTTTTTTTCCCTAAGATACGGCCTTGCTATATAATTCAAGAGGGCTCCAAATTTATGATCTTTCTGCCCCCTTTCCTGAGTTCTGGGATTACAGGTGCACCGTAATTCACAGACTCTGCTTTTTCTTCTCTCAATGCTGAGGGCCTTGTGCATGGTCAGCAAGCATCCTGCCACTGAGCCGCATCTCAAGCTCTATAACATCTTCTGCGGCTATGTTACGGCATCTACTTGACCATCGTTCACCAGAGACTTACTAAATGCTTTGAATATGCCAGGAACACAAGCCAGTGTTCTTCATGTCTTAACATGCATGTTTGCATGCATGCACATGCTGCCACACGGCTGCCCAAAGCAACCATCCTATAACATGCCAACAGCCTGTTTACATGGTAACAAGGCCTCTGAATGGCCTTGACAAAGGGGCAGAGGTATCGAGAATGGGAACAGAAAAATGCAGTGAATTAATTGTCTGCCCGTGGCTATTTAGTCAGCCCATCATGGGATCCCATAGATATTTCTTAGCCTTTTAGTGCTGGGTTAGCTACATAGACTTTTTGATTTTGTAGAAGAGAAGACAAAAATAACAGACATTCCCTCCATCCAGGACAAGAAAGAACAGGCACCGAGGTGACCTCGAGGCTGTGAAGCCTTGGGTGGTTTTGGCTTTCTAGGTGGAAAGTATCGTTTGGACTGCTGTGACCAAATGTCACACAGGGAGTAGCTGGAAACAGCAGAAATATATTTCTTGTCATTTTTGAAGCTCAGGTCCAAGCCCAAGACTCCAGTCCATCTGGAATCTGATGAGGACACTCTTCCTGTGCAGATAGTCACGCCACCGTGTGCACACATGGCAGAAAGCGGGCAGACAGGCACGCTCTTACGCAGCTCTTCTGGGAAGGCACTGACCCATGTTCAGACATAAGTGCTTCCCAAAGGCTCCTTCTCCTAAAAACCGCTACAATTTCAACACAGGAGTTTCGGGAAAACCACTCAGTCCACACAGATGTCATTAGCATTTGCTTTGTTTCATTTTTACTTTGGTTTGTTTTTCCTGTGCTGAGAATGGAGCCGAGGGCTTTGTATGTGCCCAGCAACCCGCTAGCACTGAGCAACAGCCCCAGCCTCTGGCTCTTCTCTCTGCAGTTCTCTGGAGAGCTTAAAAGGCCCTTCGGAGTGGCATTCCGTAACCTTCCTCTGCTTTCCAGGTAACAGGGACAAGCGCCGCCGTTTTCCCAACCCTGCGCCATTCCTCCTCAAGCCTCCATTCCTCACACATGACCGTCTGTCCACCACAGGACTCTGCCATCAAGAAGCCACACAGACAGCACCGGGGTGAGAGCGCGGCCCTGACCTACAATGGCAGCCCAGTTCTCCCATCCCTCCCTCATCCTCCCTCCTTCCCAGCCTGCTGAATCACCCTGTCTGTCTCTCAGGTACTCAGACAAAGGCAGAAGAGGCACAGCCAAGAGTAAAGAGTGATGCCAGTCAGCAAACCAAGTGAGTTCCCTCGTGTTCTGACCCCAACAGTTCACATCTCGTTCATCCCTCACCTCCACTGGACAGCCTAGCTGAGGAGGAGGAGGAAGCCCCTCCCCGCCCCACTGCTCTTCCACAGGGATGCCAGGTGCTCGCAGGTTTCATTTTTTTGGCCCACTGTCATGTTTTCCTTCTCTTCCCAGCTGTGGAGTCGCAGTTCAAGATAAGGTAAGAGAACCCTCGTTTGGAGGGGTGTGGGTCAAATGGCCCCTAAGAGCTAGTATCCCGGGATTCTGGGATAAACCCGGGCTGTGGTGGAGGGTCCTGAGCATAGATGTGGGCCTAGAAGGACCCTGCCAGATCCAAGGCAAAAGAGATCTGCTCCGTGTAAGCCAGCCAGGGCTCTCTGGTTCTCTGCCGACGTCCTCCTGAGCCTCTTCATCTCTTTCTCTAGGACATCATCCAACTCTCTGAGTACCTCAAAGTAAGTATCACAGCAATGCCTGGGGCAGCCTCACACTCTTCCTCCAGGTTAACCTTCCCCTGTACATTTTTCCTTCTAGGAAGCTCTCCAAAGGGAGCTGATCCTCAAACAGAAAATGGTGTTTCTCCAGGACCTGCTGCCTGCCCTGATCCGGGCCTCTGACAGCTCTTGGAAGGTAAGAGTAAAATCTTCAGACCAGGTGTGCAGACTTTCATGCATGCCCACCTTGTGTCTCTCAGCATCCCACCCGGCATGGGAAGGGTTGTCTCACTGGGAGGAGGCAAAGGTGGGGGTGCTTAGATGCAGAGGCCCAAAGGTCTCAGTAAGTGTGACCTGGGGAGACCCAAAACCAAAAGCAGACATAAGGCCCTGCTTTTAAACCGTGGGAAGAGATGAAAAAAGAGCTCCGTCCAGTGTTGTTACTAAGTATTGTCAAGGCAACGGCTTTCACGTGGGATTCTGTATTAGTCACTTTCTTAATGTTGTACCAAATTACCTGATACAAGGGACTTTAAAGAAAGGGCTTATTTTGTTTATGGTTCCAGAGTATAACCCATCATAGTTCGGCGAAGGAAGGGGGGGGGGGGTCATGGCTGCAGGACTGTGAGGCAACTGGTCACATTGTATCCACAGACAGGAGCCAACTAAGAAAGGCTGGTGTTGGTCTGTTCATTCTCTAGATAGCCAAAGGCCATGCTCCTGATACCATGGGAAATTGTTCTTTAGGCAGACACCTTCATTTATTTTGTAAAAATCATCTCACTACGTAGCCCTGGATGACCTAGAACTCTATGTAAACCAGGCTGGTCTTGAACTCACGGAGCTGCACCTATCTCTGCCTTTGCCTCCCAAGTGCCAGGATCAAAGCCACGTACTACTGTGCCTGGCTCAGGCTCCTGCTTTTCAGAGGGTTCATAGTTCTGTAAGCAAGACACATGACAAAACAATACAGACATGAGAAATAAGAGATGCTTCCAGGGTGGAGCAGGCTACAGGGAGAACAAAGAACCCGGAGAGGGGAGCCAGAAGCACAAGGACAGTTACAAAGCATTGCCAGGCAAAGGAGGACTCAGTGACAGGGTGGACAGGTAAGAGCCAGAGTGTGGCTCGATTTGGCACAATGGCTCTCTAACTTTCTTTTCTCAGGAATCTTTATATTAATTTTTCATTAATTAATATTTTCCTAGAGTGACCACACTTCCCCTCCCTCCCTCCCTTCTTCCCTCCCTCCTCCCAGTGCCTCCCCAGTACCCCACCCACTCCTCCTTTCTCTTCAGAAAAGGGCAGGTCTCCCCATGTATATGGGCCAGCCACGGCATATCAAGTTGTCGAAAGACTAGGCGCCTCCCTTCCTATTAGGTCTAGATGAGGCAACCCATCTTTATACTAACTTTTAACTAAAAACTCCAAAGAACTTCTGATGTACCCATATTAGAATTTGCCATGTTAAAACTTAAAATGGAAATTTATGAATATTAATTTAGAAATAATAACAATCAAGCATCATATGCTAACTTCAGTTATGTATTTTAATGGAAAGCTTTGTTTCAAAAAGGAGAAATTAGAGAAGTACATGGTTGGACATTCTCAATACCTAGTTAGTGGGTTTTCTGTAACATGATAATAGGTTTCTCCACCAATGCAGTAAGCCAGATCAAGTTGAATTAAAAAGTAAAAGAACAGGTATATTTGAGCAAGGCCTGGAGAAGTCACGCAGCCAAGCTAAAGCAGGGAGCTATATACCCTGTTGGCAAGGGGTGATGATGTCCTCCACAAGCCCAGGTATAGTCAAAAACTGACCACTTTAGGAGGGGTCTTGGGCTACTGGCAACTTCAGGGGAGGAACTGTTGGAGGAGGCCACTTGTTTGTTTCCCGGCTGCCCAGAAACTGAAATAATCACACAGAAACTGTATTAATTCAATAACTTCTTGGCCTAATTGTTGTAGGGAGGGGGGCCGCTTGTTGGTTCCCGACCACTTAGCCCTGAAATAATCACACAGAAACCACATTAATTAAATCACTGCTTCGCCCATTAGCTCTAGCTTCTTATTGGCTGACTCTTACGTATTAATTTAATCCATTTCTATTCATCTGTGTATCGCCACGCGGCTGTGACTTACTGGCTAGAGTTCCCTCTGGCTCTGGTGGGGTACATGGCTTCTCTCTGACTCCGCCTCCTTTCTTCTCCAACATTCTAGTTTAGTTTTCCCCACCTAGCTCTGTTCCCCTATAGCTCTGCTATAGGTCCAAAGCAGTTTCTTTATTAACCAATGATATTCATAGCATACAGAGGAGAATCTTACATCGAGGAGCTGCTGCTGCAACAACAATACACAACTGGCCTTCTTAGCACTTTTGGAGACTCTCTGAGAGGGGCAGGGTTTGGAGAGAGAATTGGGGCTTTCCGGATCAAACAGGAGTGAGCTGCAGACAAATACTAGCTGAACAGAAGACACCTAAACTCTATTTCCTTCTCAGTTCAACCTCTTGTGAGCACTCTTTCAATTGAAGTATTTGAAAGCAGTCAGTGTCATGGAGAATGTCCTGAAAAGGGAAAGGCCTTGCAGATAGATCCCTTGAAAGAGTCTGTAGAATCCTCCTGTGTTCAGCAAAGGATAAGTTGGAGCCACCAAAGTCTAAGGCAGCAGGTGTGTTCAGCCAGAACATGCAGCCTCCCAGGCCTCCCCGCAGCTCACTGTAGGAAGGTTTATGCTTAAAGAAATGAAAGGGGGGCAGCTGGAACACTCCCAGAGGTTTGTGGTGACACAGAAGGCCACCACTCCCCCTCGGAGCCAAGTCATCCCTCCTTACATCAGTCACCGAGCCTGGATTCGGAGTCTCTCTGGTGCAGGCCCTGTTTGCCTTTTCCACTGGCAGAGCAGGAGCCAGAGTCCGCAGCCGGGCACTCCAGTGGCTGAGCTAAATTGAGATCATCTCCCCCATTGGTTTATAAGATGCTCGGTATCGTCCAACTCTAGGCTGGGGGTTCAGGACAAAACGAAATCGAGTCCTTACCTGAAAGACTCACGGCTCAGCAAGGGAGAGTCACAGCAGGCAGCTCTGGTGAGACCAGGCTGCAAGTGTGTGCGAGCCCGACAGTGAAAGAGAGCGAAGGAAGGCTCTGTGGAAAGAGGCCATTTTTCCTGCGTCTTAGGGGTGAGTAGCAGCTCACCAGCTCAGGAGTGGCTCGATGATGGGGGGCAAGCAGAAGAGTGTTTAAGGAATTAGGATATTTACAGGCCTGGGTGTGGCAAAGCACTGGGTGTAGCTCAGTGTGACGGACAGGAAGGGGTCCCATCTGAAGAGCGTCAAAGAAATACCTCTCTCACACTTTCAGAACAGGAGGCTTGACCCTTCACTGTCAAGGTTTGTTTCAGACTCAATGTGCAGACTCCATTGTAGAAAACACACGTGCATATCTGTATGTGGATGTGCATATGTGTCACAGCAGATACCTTGTACTGAGGACCCATGAGATCGCATGCCACCCCCGGTTGAGAAACACAGTCACAGGCAGAAAGCGGGGCGGAAGTTAACATTCACTCAGAGTTGAAAGCAGGGCCTTACTTATTCTGCCATGCCTGCTTGTCTTTCCGAAGGGGAAGAATCTGGTCTGTGCTTGTAGTTTATCTAAACGAAGGCCTGTGGCTGAGTGAGGGGTAGAGCCCTAGAGAGGCCTAGGTCAGCTGTGCTTAGAGAGTGGAAGTGAGGCAGATACATTAAGAGCTATTTATGTAGCGCTCAGGAGTCTGAGGCAAGAGGATTCTAAACTTCAGGCCAGCCTGGGCTGTATGTTGAGACCCTGTTTGGCTGTTGTTGTTGCTGCTGCTGCTGCTGTTGCTGCTGCTGCTGCTGCTGCTGCTGCTGTTGTTTTTTCAGCCATTTAACCATAAACTTGGAGGGGGCGTTGTTACCCCGGGCTCCACACAAAGAGTTGTGGCTCCTCTGGCCTTCGTTTCCTCTCTCCCACCTTCCTACCCTTCCCAACTCTCACATTCACCCTTTTCTTCATCCTCCCAGCTTCCTGTATTTAAGAAAAGTCATTGTTAGCTGTTCAGTTGAGAGTCCTTGCTTCTCCCAAAACAAAACACTTCAACTCCATCCCTCCCAAGAAGGTTTCAATATTAGAGAAACAGTGGCCCCATTTGGTGATTTTGAGAAAATACTTGAATGAACGAGACCAGCATTGGGACTTGGACCTCAGCCAAGTGTCATCTTTGTCCTTCCATTTGATTCCGTGTATGAATCTCCAGCTTCTCATGTAGAGATGATGTTCACGGCAAGCTCTCCATCAAAGCCCCAGAGTCAGTGCCCCCCCCCCCCGAGTCACTCCCTGGAGCTGCTGGGAACCCAGAGCTGGGTCTGACCACTAGAACAGATGCAGCTATGCAGGAGAGGAAGCTGGGGTGGATCTGCGAAGCGGAACTGAGAGCTTGAGATGACAGCACAGGGGGAACTGGCTCTGCACCCTATGCAAACTCTGTGAGAGCAGAGATGAGCCATGGGCTAAGGCTTCCAGGGTGAGGTGTGCTGTTTCTGGAAATAGATATGAGGCAGGGGATGGACCAGCACTAGGTGTGTGTGGTCTTCCCATTGCCTTTCCCCACCAGGGTGGCCTGTCTGAGGAGATCCAGACTCCTGGATAGGGTCCACAGCAGCCTGTAGAACTTCTTAAGTCTCCAATACTAAAGTCAGCATGGGGAGACTGGGGGGTAAGGGGCTGCTCTATTTGCAGCAACTTGGCTTCAACATTTCTGCTTGCCTTAGGGAGTCTGGAGCTGTGGTCCAGGGATTTTGTTCATGCCGTAGACTTGGGTGGCAGCCCCTATCCCTACTTGAAGGGGCTACCATGAATCATCTTGTATTGCAACATAAATGGAAAAATAATCTGGGGTTGGGTTGAAATGCGCAAATACTTGGAAGAGGAAAATATTGAATGAAAGTGATCCTACAGACTAGGGAACTACCTAGAGGACATTTCCAGGATACTGTCTGGAGCCTGTGTTCCTTCCAGGCTATAAGGCGGCAATCTTTAAACTTGGTGGGTGTAGCTGGCGGAGTCTGTTGGGAGACCAGCACAGAGGGTGGCAGGGCGGGGCTAGCTGGGTTCAAGGCCTGCAGACTGACAATGAACAGGCCCCTCTGGGGAATGTAGCTGCTCTACCAGTTAGGCCTGGGCCTGAACAGTGGGAGCCTTTGTCCTCCTCTCATTTGTCCCAAGCCCTGTGGTTATTGTAAATGCCAAATCTCTTACTCTCGACGCTTTTCCACATGTGGCTGAGAAAAACATTAATAATAGGAGGCACTTTAAAAAATTGTTTTTGGCAAAGGCTTTTGCTTTTTGCAAGGTCCAGCTGAGTAACACAGGAAGCAGAACGGGTGGGGTCTCCCCCTGGTCCCCACGGTTAGAAGACTTAGACAAGTACGATCAAAACAGGAGCTCTGTGATACCACTTCCTGCCTTCCCCAGGCACCTCGAGTCCCAGCACCGGAGGCCCCCCTCACCCCAGAAGCCCTCTTCTGCCCCTAGTCTTTACAGCCGTGGCCCACCAAGAGTGTTGGAACTGTTCGCCAATGACAGGAGCCACAGTATCCAGGACTGGAGAAAGGCTCCTCAAGAGTCCCACAGGAGTAGGGTGGAGAAGCCAGATAAAGAAACGTGAAAACCACTTATAGGTTCATGACTGTATCTCTAAAACAAAAAAACCAAAAACAAAAAAAAACATGTCTTGTTAACAGCACCCCCACGGCCCCAGCCAGAGACACCTGGGGTAAAACTCAATCTGGCAAAGGGGATGTCTACAGGTAGAAGCAACAATGTACATGAAATGTAAAAGACTGAAAACCAGAATTGCACCTCTACCCACCTTCTCCACTTGCTCATAGATCAAGGAATGCCTTAAAGTTCCCTCAGGCACCACAAGACCTGGGGCACGCTGGGGGTGATGGGGAGGGCAGACAGATGAGACCATCAGATAGACCCAGCTTTTGAATACCTCCGTGACTTTCCCAGAAGCCCCCTTACCCCTCCCTGGGCCCACTCCTACTCTGCTTAATATCTCTAAGTTCATTTCTCACTTTTTTTACTTTCTCACTGGTGTCCTGTCAAGGAGGAAAGGACACGCACACACGTGCACACACACACACACACACACACACACACACACACACAAGAGTACAGTCAGGGTCCTCCACAGCCACAGGTTCCACAGCCTCAGATTCATCCAACACTGGATCAAGAATAATTGAAGGAAAAAAAATCCTGTTTTTCTTGTTTTTCATGTAGTCTCAAGTCGATACAGTATACATTTACGCCGTGTTTCCACTGTACTGTGAGTGAGCCAGAGACGGTTTTAAGCATATAGGAAGGTGTACATAGGCTATTGGTAAGTGCTACACACTGGCACTTGAGCATTCTGAGGGGTTCTAGGAACTAATCCTCAGTGGATATGAGGCGTGTGCAATGGAAGGGCCACCCCTACAGAGACCTCTGCCCCACAGCCCTGCCCGGCCTGAGATCAAGGTATGCCACCAGTGTCACCAGTGCCAGGCTCTCCCCTTGTCTCTCTTGGTTTGCAGATACCCTCTTGTCTTCAGGTGCTCTCCCCTCGGAATATCCTGGCACTCTGATTTTGTTTTATAAAAACACGGGGAAACCAGACTTGACTGTGTGTTAACTTCTTTGAAGGCTTACCTCCAAATGTGGTTCCATCCTGGAGTACTGCAGCTCTCTGCAGCCTTCCGGCCTGAAGGGCAAACACAGTTCAATCAGCCCGTAATAGGACATTGTAGCAAATATAGATTCTCCCCAGGAGCAATGGACAGAACATTGTAGCAACACACAGATTCTCCCCAGGAGCAACAGACAGGACATTGTAGCAAACACAGATTCTCCCCAGGAGCAACAGAGGCAGGGGAACCTGCAGTGCAGGTGGGGGTGGTGGGGAGGAAAGAAATGACAGCTTAGGACCCTCCATGCCGGTGGTCTTCTCTGCTGCCTGGGCCACTTGATAGAGAAACTCAAAAGTACAAAGAGAGTCTGGGGACCAGTCTGGATGGCCCTTGACCTAGCAGAGAGCTAGCTAGCAGAAGGCTAACTTCCCCTGAGAGATCCTCAGCTGTCTCTGCACTTGCAAGGGTTCAGCCTGCCGGCACCCACGGCAACCCACAGAGCCCCATGGTAACAAGCTTCAGCCTTGTCTGTGTTTTCAGGCCTTACTTTACTAACTCATCCTGTTTACTTCAGGGGCAGCTTAATGAAGACAAACTGAAGGGCAAACTAAGGTCCCTGGAAAACCAGCTCTACACCTGCATGCAGGTAAGCGCTCTGAAGAACACTTCTACCACATTGATGTCAATTGGATGAGAACGTTTGAGTCTTCCTCCTGCCTTCTAAACACGCCAGCAGATGGAGACTGCCACACCCCCACTCTTGTCCGTTCTCACATGGGTCCCTAGTTAGCTACGTCACTATCTCCACGATTCCTTCTGTATCCTAGCACGCACCGCTGTAGCCCAGGAAGGAAACCCAGCACTAGGCGTGATGTTGGCTCCTACGGAGATGTGGGGAATGGTCCTTAAGGTGTGTGCCGCGCAGTCTCCAGAGGCCCAACCTGACAGCAGGGAAGAAGACACGACAGGAATGTGCAAAAATGACATTGATCTTGGGAACGAGTTGTTTTTAGCAACCTGGAGGAAGCAAGGGGCACAAGAGTCTGGAAGAAGGGAATCCTGGTTTTCCTTGTTAATATTCAGCTTCAGTGATCTCTTGATTTGGCCTAATTTCAGGCTACAAAAAAAAAAATAGTTCCCCTGACAGGTAGAAAGAAAGTGGGAGAGCAGGGACCAGCAAGAGGGCTTCCTAAATGAGAGCCCTTGCCACCAAACCTGACAACCTGAGTTCGATCCCTGGAACCCACGTTGTAGGAGGAGAGAAATGAACCCCTTCACAAATTGTCCTGACCTCTGCTCACATTCTATGACAAGTACGTGTACACACACACACACACACACACACACACACACAAATATTAAAGGAAAAGTAGGTAAGTAGGGAATGGGTGGGCTTCTCTCATTTAGAGCTAGAGGGATCAGCACTTTCCTACATGGCTGGGAACAGCTTATATTGTCTGTAGGCTTCCTGGCCTACACATCTGCTCGCTTTCCAACGTGAGCTGCTTTGTTAGGCTCTTATTAACTAAAATATGCAAATCAAACTTGTAAGAGGCCATCAAGCAAGCCAGATTGCAAGTCTTTAGTTTGTTGTTTGAGAAAGGTCTCATCATTAAGCTGGCCTTGAACTTGTGATCCTTCCACCAGCCTCCCAGTGCTGGAGTTACAGGCATAAGCAACTGTGCTCAGGTACTCTTCGATTTTCTATTGGAAAGGAAGCAGGTCGGCGATGACTGTTATTAAGTTCGATAACTAGGATACCACCATGCCTGACTTCAACCAGTCTCTCTCTGGTTTGATTTTTAATGAAAAACCCAAAAAAGCAGAGCACCCTTTCAGATACAAATACAAAATTTCTGACAATCCCAAAGTGAAACAAAAATGGCTCCTAATGTTCCTTCCTCCGTCTCTGTTCTCTGGGTTCTCCCTGACGGGTCTAGCACTAACTGTGAAAGCTGCCTGCCTTCCTCACAAATCAAACCCAAAAGGTGAAACACAGGCACCCAGCTTCAGTGGATCGACAAATCTAGTTTATCTGGTTTGGGGGTATTTTCCTTGGTCATAAAACCAGGGGAAACATTTTACCTGACAGTCGTGGTGCACGCCTTTAGTCCCATCACTTGGGAGGCAGAGGTAGGAGGATCTCTATGAGTTCTAGGCCAGCCTGGTCTACAGTGTGAGTTCCAGGCCAGCCAGGGCTGTAACACAGAGAAACCCTGTCATAAACAAACAAAAAACCAAACCAGGGGAACATTTAATGCAGATGTAATATGACTTTTAGAACACTAAGTAGGCCCTCAGAGTCCCAGGACATTTTCTTTCAGGCAGCAGTGTGTCTCCATTTGGAAACTGTTTCCAGGGCAGTGAGGGAGATTCATCCAAGAGTGGAGCAGTGAGGAATGGGTCCCATGCTCACGAATGCCAGTACGTCAGTGCTCAGCAAAGCCACCAGAGCTGGGGATGGAGGAGTTAGGGGAGATTTAACAGACCTGGTGCGTGCTCTGAGTCTGGAGCTCAGCAGAGGCGAACCAGCTGAGAGGACAGAGGAGGAGGCAGCTGCAGAAGTACCCTGCCAATGGCAGGCACCTCTCAGACACCCTAAGGGATTCCTCTGCTCAGCTCCAGACTGAAGAAAAGGCCTACCAGACAACTGATGTCTCTGCCCTGAGGACAGGACCTGCATCATTCCCTGTGTATGTCCCAGCTGTCGGGTGGGCAGAAGTTCACTGTGTATTTGTCGGATTGCTTCTGGTTTACAGAAACACACTCCCTGGGGAATGAAGAAAGTGCTGCTGGAGATGGAAGACCAGAGAAGCAACTATGAGCAAAAGGCTAAGGAGTCGCTTCAGAAAGTGCTGGAGGAGAAAATAAGTGCGGAGCGGCAACTTCAGAGTGTGCAGGTGGGGACGCTGAGCAGGTGGGGACGCTGTGCAGGTGGGGACGCTGAGCAGGTGGGGACGCTGTGCAGGTGGAGATGCTGTGCATGTGGGGATGCTGAGCAGGTGGGGACGCTGAGCAGGTGGGGACGCTGTGCAGGTGGGGACGCTGAGCAGGTGGGGATGCTGTGCAGGTGGGGACGTGGGGACACTGTGCAGGTGGGGACTCGTTGCAGGTGGGGACACTATGCAGGTGGGGACGCTGTGCAGCTCTGGGGGCCGGGACCCCAAGGGCAGGGAACAGTCCCCAGAGCAAGGTGGCCAACTACACACTCCAGAGACCATGCTCCTCAAGCTCATCCTGCATTTTAAACTACAATATAAGCAAATGCAGAATTCAGTGTGTTCACTCTCTCTAAGTGTCTGCTCCTTGGGAACACTCTCCTCTGGTCTCTTTCAGCTGTCCCTGGCTTTCGCTGAGCAGAAGTGTGAAGAGTGGAGGAGTCAGTACGAGGCTCTTAAGGAGGACTGGAGAACCCTAGGGGAGCAGCACAGGGAGCTGGAGAGTCAACTGCATGTACTTCAGTCCAAACTACAGGTACTGGGCTCTTAGCATGGGAGGGGAGGGAGGGCAGGAGTGAGGGAAAGGGTCTGGGGAGAAAAGATGCTCCAGGGCTGGGCCCCAAAGGCTTCATACGTGCAACAAGGAGCTTTCCAGTCTTCACCCCACGGCCCACTGAGTCCTAGACCCACTGTTCTGCCTCTGAACTGTGATTCTTTAATTAATGCCTGCACTGCTCATGCAAATGAACTAAGTACCCACTGGAAAGGCATTAGCCAGATACAAATGCCTGGGCTGGAACCGCCACTGAATTGCACCCTAAGTCAGACACCATCCCAGCAGAGTACGCAGTGCACAACTTAAATGTTACTAACTTATTTACAGGTATTAACACATCCTGCCAATGTGTTTCTCATCAGATTACTGTAAACCCTTAACATACTCAAAAGTTCCTATGCTTTCAATTTGTCGCCTTAGAAAACCTAATTACTCTCGATAAGCCTGCTTCCTCGTCAGCAAAATAAGGGTGATAGTCTTCATATCACAGTATTGTTGCATGAGTTAAATATGGATAGCCACACGAAGTGTTTAGCATAGTCTATGGTACTATGAGCACTTGATACAGGTTAACGATTACTTTGCGTGTGTTACCTCTGGCCTGGGTAGAGACCTAGCCTTCCTAGCTATCTAAAACCAAGAGTTAACCAACTGGAGTTGTTCAATCATCTGGCTAATTACCCCTCAGGAAGGCAGAGTCACCTTAACCCACGACAAAGAAGGAAGAATAATCAACCATTTAATAAGAGGTGCACTTTCCCTTCCCGGGAAGCCTGCCCATTTTTCTGAATTTCTCAGAAAAGTGTAACCTTTCATCTCCTCTCTCTTTCTAATACTTGCCAAAGTCAAGGTATGCTTCCAGAACACTCTGGGCTTTCTTACTCTTTTTCTCTGAAGTTATTCTCTGTCGATCCTCTTTGCCATATGGCTGTTTGCCAAAACAACTCAAAAGTCATGGCTTTCTTTTCCTCTTCCTCATCTCTGCCCTCGAGGCAGCTGCTGAGATTTTACAGTACGCCCATCATTACCGTTGTTATTGTTTGGGGTATTTTCCTTTTTTAACTAAGAAAAAGCTTCTTTCAGAATCTGTTCTTTTTTTAACATTAACCATCTTTCTTCAATTTTTATATTCTTGAGAGTTTAATTTCTATCTTCCTTTTCCTCCCTCCAAACCTTCCCATATATCATTCCCTGCTTTCCTTAAAATTCATGGCCTTTTTCATAGATTATTACTGCATGCATAGATATATGTACATATATATATATATATATATATATATATATATATATATTCCCAAATAGGAACTTGCATGTATGATTTCAGGGCTGACCATTTGACTGGACAACCACCTGGTGTGCTCTTCCCTGGGAGAGACCTCCTCTCTGACCCAGCTGTCCTCAGTTGTCTGTGGTTGTTTTGTGGGGTCGAAGCCTCGTGGGCTTTGCCCCATTAAGCATTGATGTCGTCCTTGTTCCCTGCACATTTGAGCCGACATGTTGAGGAGACTTTGCGGGTGTCATTTCTGATGTTGCTAGGAGATGAGCTCTCACAGCAAACTCCCTGATCCTCTGGCTCTTTGTCTTTCTGCGCGTCTTCTGCAATGTTCCCTGAGCCTCAGGTGCTGGAGACATGTTGTACATGTATCCATTGAAACTGGGCTCCACAAGGATGCATTTTGATTGGTTGTGATTTACTGTAATGGGCCCTAACTGTTGCAAAAAGAAATTTCCTTGAAGTGTTAATTTTTTTTATTAACAAATCTAAGAACTCAGAGAGGAGACCCCAATTTCCCAGTAATATATGGCACCCCCGGTGGGGCTCCCCACAATCTTCAGTAACACATAGATTTCACTTACTTAGTTTGGAACTTTGAGATCTGTCCTCAAAGTGGATCTTTATAATTTCCCCCCAACAGAGCTCAGAAACCACACACACACACACACACACACACACACACACACACACACGCAGCTGATGAGAGAGGGAACACGACTCTTCGAGACACAGATCTCACTGGGTGCACAGCACAGGGCTCTCTTCCTCACAACTGATCATGCTGAAAGTGAAGGCACAGTGGAACATCAAGAAAAGTTCTGACTTGATTGGAGATCTGCCGAGGCGCTGGGACACTATCCCCTGTAGATATCAAGTCAGATGCGCTGTTGGAAACATGCAGGATAGAGAACACGTCCCTGCATCCCAGGCTATTAACTTTCTGCTGTCTTCTATTCCATGGCACCTGCTTGGTCTCCACGCACACTGACCTGCCGCTGTGTGCCGCCTCCTCCTCTCAGGGAGCAGACAGCAGAGGCTCACAGATGAACCAGGCCCTGCGACTTCTAGAAAATGAGCACCAGGAGCTGCAGGCCACGATCGAGCGCCTGCAAGGGGACCGAGAGCAGCAGAGCTCCCACACCCAGGACCTACTAGGTACTCTTCTTGGGGGTCCCACAATTTCAGGGGTAAGAACCACAGCTGAGTGAGCTCTGACACCCAGGACCTACTAGGTACTCCTCTTCTTGGGGGGTCTCACAACTTCAGGGGTGAGAACCACAGCTGAATGAGCTCCGACACCAGGACCTACTAGGTACTCCTCTTCTTGGGGGTCCCAGGATCGTGAGAACCACAGCTGAAAGAGCTCAGAGAGAGGAGTCTGGGGGGAGGCTTTGGTCTTCATTTCTGCTTGCCCTTATGATTCCATCTTTACTGGAGGGAAAGGCGGCTCTACCTTCATCACTCTAAATGAACATCAGTTGGGTTTCTCTAGGACCTTGTATGCTCTTTTCTCCGGCCTGTCCCTGTGGGCCAGACCACAGCTGCTCCCACGCAAGTCTCATGCCAAGGCCATATTCCTAATTTGAAAGGGAAAGGTTAGCACAAACACTGGCAGAACAAAGGCTTCCCAGCAGTGCCGGTGTGGGCTGACGGGACCCGGGGGCATGTGTACGCAACACTGTGTGTTCATGTGCGACGGTGCCCTTCCCCTTCAGATCCGAAAGGCCCTGGAGAGGACAGGACGTGCTTCTCGGTTCCACCTCTGGTGCTCTTCTATTTCAGTCTGCATTCTTTCACTTTCAGATCGGCTAAAGCGGTCAGAGGAGGAGAAACAGGTCCTGGTGAGCAGAGTACAGAAGCTGCAGAGTAAGTGTCCTTGACAGCCTGAAACCTGCACAGGCAGCTTCCGGTGTGTGTGCCCACAAAGGGCATTCGAAGGCAGGCCAGAGGCCCAGGCTCTGGTGTGTCCTGCTTCAGGGCAGCCTCGAGCCCACTTCCTGCAAAGGGAGGGTCATTTGCATAGCTCCTCACAAGTTATATGGTCGATTTCTTTCCCCGAGTTGTATAGTTGTATATTAGCATCTGTTCTTGTGTTTCCTCTCTAGTCTCCTCCTTGTCAGTGACAACCCTCATTTCCATTCCTACGAGAATTCCAGCGTGTGTGTGTGTGTGTGTGTGTGTGTGTGTGTGTGATGTAGGAAGAGTTGTGATATATATGAGTGATGTGTGATGCAGTGTGTGTGCACACTATGTGTATGTGTGTGGTGTGTATGGGAGCCCATGAAGTGTGCACAGAGGCAAGGGGGCTGGAGGGTGTTGAGCATCTTCTGTGTCACTCCCTGCCTTGGTCCCCTGAGAAAGGGTAAGTCGCTGTTTCCCAGCCAGGCTAGCCAGCAAGCCCCAGTGATCTTCCCTCCTCTGCCCCGGACCTGACAACATTAAGGTAACAGGAGCAAGAAGCCATGCCCTGTTTTACATGGATGCTGACAATTTAAATCAGGTCCTCACATGTGTACAGCAAGTCCTCTTGCTCTTCCATTGCCCCAGCCCTGGGACTGTCCATTTTAAGAAGTATTAGGCGTTCTAAGATGGTTCTTTTGTTATACATTCCATGTGTTCACATGAACATGTCACTCAGATCTTTCTCGCTAGAGCTGGTTCAGACGATAAGCTTTCATTCGACCCCTACATGAGTCAGGCACCCTAAACATGTACTGGGGGCACACCATAAGCAAAAGCAATCGTTTCTTAAGAAACTTCCATTCTAAGCAAGTCCAGCAGTAGGGGCTTCCATGAAAAAGAAATCAATGTGTGTCAAGTCAATAACTACTACAGAGAAAAAGCAGCAGATTCAAGGCAAAATTAGTCACTGTCATGTAGAAGGTCATCTGAGAGCAAGTTCCTCCTACAGCCACAATTAAGCAAAGACACAGACAGAGACTGACATAAGGACAGTGTATTTGTAATGAAATGACTTGGACAAAAACAAGCCATTTCGAATCCCAGCACTTGAGAGGCAGAGGCAGGCGGGTCTCTGTGAGTTCAAGACCAGCCTGGTCTACAAGAGCTAGTTCCAGGACAGGCTCCAAAACCACAGAGAAACCCTGTCTCGACAAAAAAAAAAAAAAAAAAAAAAAAAGAGCCGTTTCTGGAGCCTGCCATTCAAAATCAAGCTGTCCAGAGGTTTGGCAACTTCTCTTTAGCTGTACAGGTGGCTGGCTGTGTCTACGCATGCTTTCCCTGGAGTGTATGTGGGTCTACATGTTTCTTATAAGAGCAGCGGTTATCTGGACTAGGGCCGTGTTAATGACCTTACTTTCACTTGGTTACCTTTTCAAAGACTCATCTCCAGGAAATGTCACATCACAGGAGTGAGGACTTCCACACAAAAATTCTGAGGAGCAGCATCCAGTCCCTCACAGATGGTGACATCTGGGATGTCTGACCCTGGCTCTGTCTGTCTCTCAACAGGTCTGCTTCAGAATCAGTCCTTACACCACCAAGAACAGGAGAAACTCTTAAAGAAAGGTCAGCAAATTTACTCGCACTAAATGTTGCTCTTCCTTTGTCTGCCTAGAGGCTGGGTATGGACTACATGACTTCTTGGGGTCCCACCCACTCCTGAGAGTCTGTGACGTCAGGGAGGTAGGGAAAAGTTTCTGACCTGGACATCTCAGGCAGCCTTCTACTCCGAGAGGTACATAAACTGGGAAAGGGTTTCTACTTTCTCTGAAAACATTGTCTGTGTTGAACATTTCAATAAATTGATTTTGAACTCATAATTTCATGTCAGTTTTTACACAGTTGATTTTATAAATCACAGCCAGTTTAGCCCAAACCACACAGCACACAGTCCTCTCGCTCACTCTAGCCCTGACCAGTCTGCTGCCCAAGCCTGCCAGGGGCCCATCAGCCACACACAGGCCCCAGCGGCTCCTCGGTTAAGGACAACACACAGCCTGCTGTTTTATTCTCACAACTCCTAGATAACATGACAATAGAGAAATAATTTCAATTAGCAAGTATTCACTAAAATGATCAGATTAAGACAAGTTCAAAGAAAAATGAGATGTCAACCTTGCTCAAGAAGTCTGAGGCCAGCTGTGTGTCCGGGCCACAGGGCACACCAGAGCTCTTTAATGCAGAATGTTCTACAGCATTCAGCAAAGGCAAGGACAAACCTGCCGTCTCCCTATTCTGCAAACCCTGAGGGTTCTCAATGACAGGGCCAGCCCTCACAAACAAGGGTCTTGCTGCTCTTCTAGATCAGGCTTTACCTGTGTGGAATCCAAAGCTCTCCCTTGATGAAGCAAAGCCCGAGAGTACAGGGAAGGAGAAAGACTGGGAGCTCAGAGACCAGCTACAAAAGGAGACATCTCAGCTCCGGGCCAAGGAAAAGGAGGTGAGGAGGCAACCTCAGTGTAAGGGCTTATCCAGACTGTGAGTGCTCATCCAGACTGTGAGTGCTCATCCAGACTGTGAGTGCTCATCCAGGGCGTGAGTGCTCATCCAGGGCGTGAGTGCTCATCCAGGGCGTGAGTGCTCATCCAGGGCGTGAGTGCTCATCCAGGGCGTGAGTGCTCATCCAGACCGTGAGTGCTCATCCAGGCCGTGAGTGCTCATCCAGGCCGTGAGTGCTCATCCAGACCGTGAGTGCTCATCCAGACCGTGAGTGCTCATCCAGACTGTGAGTGCTCATCCAGACCGTGAGTGCTCATCCAGACTGAGTGCTCATCCAGACTGTGAGTGCTCATCCAGACTGTGAGTGCTCATCCAGGCCGTGAGTGCTCATCCAGACTGTGAGTGCTCATCCAGACTGTGAGTGCTCATCCAGGGCGTGAGTGCTCATCCAGGGCGTGAGTGCTCGTCCAGACTGTGAGTGCTCATCCAGACTGTGAGTGCTCATCCAGACTGAGTGCTCATCCAGACCGTGAGTGCTCATCCAGACCGTGAGTGCTCATCCAGGCCGTGAGTGCTCATCCAGACTGTGAGTGCTCATCCAGACTGTGAGTGCTCATCCAGGCCGTGAGTGCTCATCCAGGCCGTGAGTGCTCATCCAGACTGTGAGTGCTCATCCAGGCCATGAGTGCTCATCCAGGCCGTGAGTGCCAATCCAGACTGTGAGTGCTCATCCAGACTGTGAGTGCTCATCCAGGGTAGTGCTCATCCAGGGCGTGAGTGCTCGTCCAGACTGTGAGTGCTCATCCAGACTGTGAGTGCTCATCCAGACTGAGTGCTCATCCAGACCGTGAGTGCTCATCCAGACCGTGAGTGCTCATCCAGGCCGTGAGTGCTCATCCAGACTGTGAGTGCTCATCCAGACCGTGAGTGCTCATCCAGGCCGTGAGTGCTCATCCAGGCCGTGAGTGCTCATCCAGACTGTGAGTGCTCATCCAGGCCATGAGTGCTCATCCAGGCCGTGAGTGCCAATCCAGACTGTGAGTGCTCATCCAGACTGTGAGTGCTCATCCAGGGCGTGAGTGCTCATCCAGGGCGTGAGTGCTCGTCCAGATTGTGAGTGCTCATCCAGACTGTGAGTGCTCATCCAGACTGAGTGCTCATCCAGACCGTGAGTGCTCATCCAGACCGTGAGTGCTCATCCAGGCCGTGAGTGCTCATCCAGACCGTGAGTGCTCATCCAGACTGTGAGTGCTCATCCAGACTGTGAGTGCTCATCCAGACTGAGCACTCATCCAGACTGAGCACTCATCCAGATTGTGAGTGCTCATCCAGACTGAGCACTCATCCAGACTGAGCATTCATCCAGACTGTGAGTGCTCATCCAGACTGAGCACTCATCCAGATTGTGAGGGTTGATCTAGACTCGTGGTTCTCAACCTATGGGTTGCATATCAGATATCTTGCATATCAGATATTTACATTATGATTTGTAACAGTAGCAAAAATACAGTTTTGAAGTAGCAACAAAATAATTTTATAGGTGGAGGTCACCCCAACATGAGGACCTATATAAAAAGGGTCCCAGTGTGAGGAAGGTTGAGAACCACTGATCTAGACTGTAAAGAGAAGGGAAACCTCTGGGAGGCAACTGGAAGGCAGGAACGTCCAAGCTTAAATTGTGACTAGATGCCCAGAGGTGTTCATTTTCTTATACAAATTTCTTTGCTCTTGAATAGACTTGCAATCTTTCTCCTTCCTAACTGATAAGAACCACTATCAAGGTTATATTGATAGACTATTATAAGTCAACCAGAAGATAAAAATATTTGACTAAACACATTCACTTCTTAAATTCTGTCACATACTAAGTGTCACAGTGCTTTTATCTTACATAGAATCTTTTAAATGGCAAATGCTGCCCTAGGAACATACTTCCAAACTCACGCACCCTTGGAAGTGTGCAGAAGCAGCTAGCTCCCAAGGAGGAGAGACTTGTCCTCCAACTACTGCTAAGTCTTTCGTGCTGTAAGAAATACGTTTTAGTATGCCCATTTGCAAAACACGTTCACAAAGTCATAGAAAAGCATGTGCACGGATTGGGCCAGTAAGCTGGCTCAGCAGGTAAAGGCACCTGCGGCCAAGCCTGATGACCTGAATCCAATCCCTAGGACCCACATGGTAGGAGAGAGGTGATTCCAGGGGTGCCTTCCAACTCCCACACATGGTAGGAGAGAGGTGATTCCAGGGGTGCCTTCCAACTCCCACACTTGCACTGTGGTGTCAGCACACACGCACACACACACACGCACATATCAACAACAAATAATGTAAAAGATTAAGCATTTCCATGCGTCAAATGTAATATATGAAGCATAACCAATCGTATAACTCAACATATTCCAGATAAACTATGTGATAGGAAAACGACTAACTAAAATCTCTGAGAAAAGCGGGGAGAATGGCTCACTAAAAAAAGTGAAGGAGTACGGTACTCAGGGCAGCCCTCCTCCAGAGTTACGTCCCAGACTGAAACAGTGGCACTTTGTTCTGTTGTCCCCAGTGCAGAGAGCTGCATTCAGAGCTAGACATCCTCAATGACAAGCACCACTCCTGTCTTGGAAAGCTACAGCACTGTCAAGAAGCCCTGAGCCACAGCCAGGAGGGCCCATCCTTCTCCATAGCCCTACACGACACAGGGGTAGTTCCTTTTTCATGCCCAGTCTTACCGATAAAACACATCAGTTCACACCAACATCTGGTCGTCCTGCCCTGTTCCACTTATGCCAACAATATGCGCTATGAAATAATATATTATGGATAAATATGGACGAAATGCTGCCCGTGATCCACCCACACTAGATGGAGCCTACTCTGAAAGCCTGACATGTTCTAGACCCAAAACACACTATGCATGCACAAACATGATGCTTGAAAGCTGCAGATGGTTTCAGAGCATTTGGGATTTGTGATCTAGGGCCTTTTTATTAGGCCTGTTCAACTGGTAAAGTCCATACAAATGTTACAAAATGAAAAAAAAAAGTAAAATTTGAAACACTCCTAATCCCAAGCATTTCAGAAAAATTATACATAACCTGTATTGGCTCAAGTATAAAAGAGCTCTTTTGATTTATTATGAAAATATGGCAAGGGCAGGAGGAAGACTTAAAAAGCATTGAGGGACACAAAGAGAGTATTATTTTGGTGAATTATTTTCTACTTTAAATATTCATATCAGCATTTAAATATCTGTCCCCTACTGGATATGAGTCTCTAGGCCACTAGTAAAATGGTTTTATCTCAAGGGAGGTGACAGAAAGTGGGAGAAACACTGAAGCAAAAATGTCTTTTCTGCCACCAACGTGGGGCTTTCTGCTGTTAGAGCACCAAACACTGTTCTTGCCCATCTTTCCTCCTAACTCAGAGATGCTCTCTCCTGTCTCCACCTCCTTCCACACAGCGGCAGTGTGGCCAGTGGCTCCCGGTGCTGATGGTGGTGATGGCTACAGCACTGGCGGTGTTCCTGGCAAACAAAGACAGCCTGGGGATCTGAGTAACTTCTGGCGTCTGTCTGGGGGAAAGCTAGAAGCAAACGACTCCCTGAAAAACTTGAGTTTTGGTACTTTACAACTTCGGTTTCCCTCCAACTGAATACAGATTCCTAGTTGTTTTTTTTTTGTTTGTTTGTTTGTTTGTTTGTTTTTTTGGTTTTTTTTTTTACCACGCTGTAAATAAACTTTATCTCACAAGACTATTCTTCAGAACTGTGTATTTCTGGAAAACACAGCACACATATGACACCTGAACATTATGGTCTCATCTCCTAATTCAATTAGAGCTATATAACATGCGAAGGAACCAGTCATTCCCTTTTCCTCTAAGGCACCATCCACCAGGGCAGGTGTACTGCTTCATTTCCACAACGCTCCTTGCCCCACTCTCTTTCCTTCTGTTTCTTAGTCAATGAAAAACAGACACCTCTGCTAATACACAGGAACTCCTGACAGAAATGGAAAACATACTACTGCTGCCAACAGCCATCCCCATTCACATATGTGGTCAAGGAACTGAACAACATTGTTCCCAAGACGCGCAGAATGTGACATCTTCCACCCAGAGATAAGCGTTCACTAATACCTTCTCAATGGGCAGAGATAAGTCAGAGGGCCACGGCAGGCAGTGTGACTATCTCAGAGGAAATGCTGAGGTCGCCAAAGTCATTCTGAGTCCTAAATCGGGTTCTGAGCTCCTTCTCCCAGGTGCTCAGAAAGTTCCTCAGGGCTGGGAACAAACTCTCTGGAACACTGAAGGAGTAGAGCAAAAGTGGAGGCTGAGCAGGCAGCCATGAAATCTGGACGGTGAACACCCGCAAGGGGGTCATGGCTAAGCAGTTGCCACCTCCGTGGTCCAGATGAAATGTGTAAGAGACAGGATAGCCCAGGAGTATCCCAAACACAGTGCAGAGATTCCAAGATGAGGAAGGCAACTTGCTGGAGGAGACTCCCGGAGACACATGCTTCTGCAGTCCTTGAAAATGTGTGATGATCTCAGCTATGAGAGATTTCAAGTTCTGGAGCTGGTCCAATGAACAGACAGAAGGATGAGGCTGGGAGCAGGAAACATCCACTATGGCTGTGGTACCAAGCAGTACCTGCTCCAGATGCTGGCAGGCATGCTCAGGACTGACAATGAGATTATTCTCTCCAATCTCAAGAATGTGAAGTCCCAATGTCAGGAAGCCCAGCCTCTGCAGCTCCTCCAGATAGCTCTGGAGCGCCAACACTCCAGCAGAGTTGCAATCATAGAGAACAGCAGGCTTCAGCCCGCGAGCCACGGCCAGCACCTCTCCTGCTAGGTGAAGACAGACAGCTCGAGGTGGGCCCTTTCTCTTTCCGGTACCCAGGGTCTGCCGAGCGGCTGCCACGAGCAGCTGCGGGCTTGGTGTTGACATGAGATCTGGAAGTTACGTGAAGCTCGGCCTCCTTAGCTAGCCACGGTTCCCGTCCCTAGGTCACAGTCCAGGCTCCAACACTTAAGGAAGAGCCTAGGAACAATGTGGTTAGGGGGAAATCATTAACACTATCAAGACAGGGTCACCAGTGCTGCACTCCATTTCTCTGGCAGACTTGAAACGGTGCTTCTGGTCTTCTAGCCACATTTATATTGCCTCTGGCTTTGACTCTAACTTTTACCTGGTGCAGTTTACGCTTTGGGATTCGAACCTTAAGGCATCTGGGTCAGTCTCTGGTAAAAGTTACCACCATTTCTCCCCAAACTGCCCTTCAGACACAGAGCTCTGGGCTCCAAACGTCAGCTTTCCAACTCCCCCTTTCTTCCACTAAAAATTCTCACAGCAGCCTGATCAAACCAGCATAAGCAAGAATGCGGAGTAACCACCGCCTCGCCCTTAGACACACAGGTAAGTGGAAGCGGCTAGAACTGGGGCAGGGCCACAGTTTAACACGACTGCGCCCGCCTTCCCTTCTGGGCAGACACGTTCCCTCCACCACACGTACCAGCGAGTGAGATTAGAGACTAGTTGCGTAAGGCAGCGGCCTTACTCAAGGCTTGCACTTCCGCTACAGGTGCGGGGTCGCAGGAAGCCCTTCCGGCTCCCTGCCAGCGGCCAGGAAGGTAACTGGCCGTCCCACGCCCCACACAAAACCGCGAAAGCTCCACGGTTATGAGAAGAACCCCCAGCAAAGACAGTCTGACGCACGAGCACACACCACCCTTCTCCGCCCTTCTGCGACGTCATTCTGAACACGAACGCAAGCCGGAACCATTGACGAGACCGTGGAAAGGAACAGAATAGGAAGTACAGTCACCCTAGACAAACCCCTTCCGGTAGAACTGAAGCCGGCTGGGCTGCCGGGCGGAAGTGAGAGGTAGTTCCGGGACGAGCAACTATTTAGTCAGCAATGTAGTGGAGATGCCTCTTCTGTGAGCAATGCTATAAAGCTTCTTTTTATTTTGTTTTATTTTATTTTATTTTATTTTATTTTATTTTATTTTAATGCCCCCAAATCCTGGACGTGATAAGTTGAGTGCCAAGACCGTGAATATTCACTCCTTTTTAGCGAGTGCCATTAACTGCTGAGCCAGTTCACTGGCCCACTATTTTATTGTATTATTTTACTTTGACAGCGTTTTGTGTAGCTGGGGCTGGCGGGGGACGGTACTTCTCCGGTTTATGCCGTGTTGGAGACTGAGCTCTAGATTTTAGGCATACTAACACTCACTGAGTGTGCCTAGGCGGGAGAGGTATTGCATTGTACAAAACAGCAACCCCATCTCGTGGACCTCAAGGCCCAAGAGTCCAGTTTGCTGATCATTTTTAAGAGTTTTTTTGTTGTTGTTATTGTTTTTAAACTTTCGTTCACATGTTCGTATGTGTGGGTGCCTGAGAAGCCAGAAAAGGGAGTAGGATCACCGAGACCTGAAGTTAAAAGTATTGCGAGCTGCCCAACATGGGTTCTGGGAGCCGAATTCAAATCTTTGGAAGAAAAGTAAACGCTCTTACCCGCTGAGTCTCTATAGCCACCCTGTTGTGCTTTTTTGAGACATTGTCTTCCTATATGCCCCTCAAACATATGACAATCTTCCTGCCTCGGCCTCCAGATTTCTGAGGTTAGAGTCTGTGCCACCACGCCCCCAAACAAGAAGTGAGGATCCAGGGGCCAAGTGGACCAGGTAGTGGCGTACCTACCTATCCTTGGAGCCAAAGTGCCACCATGTTCATGAGTTCATCTGTGCGGTCTTGCAAAAGAACATTTCAACTAGGCTAAGGGAATTGACATTCCCTTGTAGAAGGAGGATCTTGGGACCCTCGCCGGAATACCCAGCCAATTCAACCAATTGAATGTTGTCTCAAGAAGTATCTAGGCTGGGAAAACATAGGAGGGCAGGGAGGGGAGCATCCTCTGGGAAGTCATAGAAGAGTTAACCTCCATACTGGGTGTAGGACTCCCATTGAGGCTGCTGCTTTTTGTTTTGCTTTGTTTTGTTTTTCGGGACAGGTTTCTCGTGTTACTGCTCTGTCTGTCCTGGAACTCGCTTTATAAACTGAGATCTGCCTGTCTCTGCCTCCCAAGCACTGGGATTAAAGGCCTGCACCCATCACGGCTGCTTCAAGGCCACCCATGCTCCTGCCTTCCACCACTCACCCACTGCTCTGTGAGTAAGCCTAATGTGAGTCTTCATTGGTTCCCCAGATTGACTTCGGTGGAAATGTACCCCCCATTTGTCACTGGGACCTTAGGAAGGGAGGTAAATGTTGCCTTGTCCCTTTCCCCAGAGAAAAATCTCACAACCAGATACTAAAGAAGGACACATGTTGACATAAGAAATTAAGGTCTTTAAACTACCAGCAATTTAACCTCAAAATCTTAAGAAAACTCTAGCCTGGAAAAATAATGCCAATGTATGAGCAGCAGAATGGAGACCTGGACTGGAGGTTGGCTCTACCTTGCTGGTACCTTCAGACAGAAAAGGACCAACAGTGGGGTTAAAGACAAACAGCATGTAAGGAAGACCAGTTGTAGGGCCTGCCAATCTAACTTAGGTTCTTAGCTCAGAGGGCATCAGATACTAAAAATTGATACAACCAGTACTCTAGCTTTATATTTTTTCCTTTCCAAATTTATTTTATATCCCCATGGCAGTTAGCAATAAATCTCCAAGTTGGAAGACTTAGTTCATTTATTACAGCACAAATATCTGAGAACACACTGTATCAGACACTGCCGAAGGCCTGGCAGTCAATGCAAGACAAACAGTCACATAGAGCATAGGTGGTGAGGACTTTACACAGAACACAGTTATTCTGAAAGTTTAAGATGCTATGGGAACATACAACCAGGGACTTGATTATGGGGAGGAGCCCAGACTTGATATCTGCCCTCCCAGTTTACCTGCAGTGGGTTCTTTTTAACTCTGAGTTAATCTAGAGTGCACATGGAGGAAAAGGAGACGCTAGAGAGAATCCTCCTCCCTCCTGAGTCTTGAGAGGAAGGCAAGGAAGAAGACAGCTCGGGAGGGAATGGAAGAGGCAGAAAACCGAACCCTAAGAGAGGACACCTGGTGTCTACCAAAACCAGAGAAAGCTTACTGAAGATGATCAGAGAAGATCCCTGCGTGTAACGTACTCTCCCAGCATCCTGGAAAAGATGCAAGACAAGGAAGGCCTGCGCTGTCTAGTGAGGACCACACAAAAGCGTTCCTCCACCTAACGCACTCCTCAGCTTCCCATCACAGTCACGCACTGAGCGTTCAGTCCATGGCACTTCTGAACATTTTTCAACATCCTTTACCAGTTCCAGTTACGTGGCCTTCCCTAATAACCTGTTACATTTCAGGGGCTTGGGGGTGGGTGGAGGAAATGGCCCCTATTCCACAGCTGCCCTTCCACCTTTCCTATAATGGGTTATTTTTAACTTTGAGCTGCCACACATAAAGATTCCCTCACTTCAGTTCACCAAGTGATGTTACTTCATGTTCCTCCAAAAGAAAAAAAAGTCCCTATACCTTGCATGATTCCTGGTCTATAAAAATCCAGCTTTTAGACTTTTTCCTACATTTATCTTTTAAAAACTTTTTAGTTAGCATACAAAGAGTTTTACACTGACATTCCACACTTTGTGTATGTGTGAACAATTATGCTTTGTTTTTACACACACACACCCCTGCCCCCCCTTTTTTTGGTTTGTTTGGTTTGGTTTTTTTGAGACAGGGTTTCTCTGATAACAACCGTGGCTGTCCTTGAACTCACTCTGTAAATCAGGCTGGCCTCAAACTCACAGAGATCTGCCTGCCTCTGCCTCCCGAGTGCTGGGATTAAAGGCTTGCACCACCACCGCCGGCCTATGCTTTGTTTTTACACACACACACACACACACACACACACACACACCTGCCCTTTTTTGTGGGGGGGGTGTTTGTTTTGGTTTTTTGATACAGGGTTTCTGTGTGTAACAACCATGGCTGTCCTTGAACTCACTCTGTAAATCAGGTTGGCCTCAAACTCAGAGATCCGCCTGCTTTGCCTCCCGAGTGCTGGGATAAAAGGCGTGCACCACCACCAGCCTCCACAGTCACCTTTCTTTTAACAATCTCTCAAAGGGTTTTAAACCAAAGCTTTAGCATCCTAAGTAAGCCTCATGGTCACCCAAGATCAGGTTGAGCTTTTAGACTTTAAATCCATCCCAACTTTCTTTCAGTGGCTTGAAAAACAGGAGGTGTGATTCTTAGTTTAAGGGCAGCAGACTATACACATGTGTACACAAATAGACATCAGTATTCAAGAGGATAGGGCCTATAACCAGAGATCCATATCGCTTTTCATCTGAGTCTTGGAGTTCAAATCCTAAGAAGCGGCTGGGGGAGACACTCTGAGACCCAGCTGCAGTGCTCTGCACGGCTTGTCTCCATTGTTCACAGCCAGAGATCCAAGTTGGGCTGAGCCCTTCCCAGAAGAGCACTGCCCAGACTGTTAACAAACCTAACACCTCATTCTTCCCATTGGAAAAACCCAAATGTCAGGAAGACCCTCGTAAACAAGAACCATCCCTTTTGTCGTCAGAGTATATCCTAGGTGCCTAGCTCCCTCCAGGTCGTCTTCAGAGAAGGAACGGAGAAAAAGGAGACCTTTCTTCCTGAGTCCACCATGGAGTCAGGTGCGTTCATCCACTCCACAGTCAGGTGCGTTCATCCACTCCACAGTCAGGTGCGTTCATCCACTCCACAGTCAGGTGCGTTCATCCACTCCACAGTCAGGTGCGTTCATCCACTCCAGAGCAGGTGCGTTCATCCACTCCACAGTCAGGTGCGTTCATCCACTCCAGAGCAGGTGGCATGAGTGGGGAGAACACCTGGCAACCATTCCTTCACGGAATCCCTAGGCTTCCCATGTCACCAGCTTCCCCTTTGACGCTCACTTTATGAGCTTTAACACCACAGGTTGGGTGACTTTCAGACCTTGGCACCCATTTCTATTTAGTTATCAGATGGGTTCCTAGCCAACCAGTCAGCTCCTCTCCTTCCTTCTCCCAGCAGGGAGCCAGCCTACTGTACCAGCGGAACAAGTCAAACACAGCTCAGTTCAGGACAGATCAGTGCTTGAGGAACTTTGATGAAAGCAAGGGGGCGGGTGTAAGAACAATACAGGAGGGTCCTGTTCTGGGCAGTTTTGCCTTGTGAAAGTAGAGGAATGTAATCAAGTCAGAGTTTTAAGGCAGAATGCAGTCGGGCATCACCCCAAACCTTATTTATTTACAAGCAATACATCTGAAGCCCTCAAGTCACATGACCTGCCTCGTGGAAGCTGCAGTTAGAACTATGGTGTCTAAACTCCCAAATCAAATCTCTCCTGCACCCACTGTTGAGATCTAAAAGGAACCCCTCAGAGGGATGGGATCTTGATAAATTAGAGCAACTTTAAAACTAGGCATATTTGGAAAGTCACAGACCTCTAATGTTAGAGAAAGGAGACTTAGAAGTTGGTTAAATGTGAATAAAAAAATCCATCTGTACAATATAAAAAAGAGAGGAGAGAAGAGGACACACACAGCAATCAGGGTCACTGGGCAGGCAGGGCAGGGGGCAGTTGCATGCTGGGGGCAGGCTGCATGGGCTGCCAGCTCTCCTGGGTTTGAAGGATGCGGTACAGCTGCTTGAGCTGAGCTACGATGTTATCTTTGATGTCTGGGGTGGAGATCTGCAGTCGAACGCTGCCGCTGTCAAAGGACCGGGTGAAATCGCCAGAAAACATCTCGTAGATCATCCGAGCCACCACTGGAATGACCTGTTCAGGCAACAGCACACGAGTTTTTGCTGACGAACGGGCATTTTTCAATAGCAGAAGAGCCCCAACATGGATGAAGAACCACGAGGCCCTGAAAAGGCCCTTCCCCACCCAAACTTGGATTTTCACTCGTCAAGGTTCACCTAGAAGCTGGTTGATTCAAGGTAAGGAACCTGAATGT